AATTGTGTTAACAAGTAGTAAAGCGTTGTTATTGCTTTAACAAGTATTGTAAAGTGTTTTTACTGTATTAGCAAGTATTGTAAATTGTTTGTTGTACAATAAAGTTAATTGTTTGTTGTACAATAAAGTTAATTGTACTACAATTTGGTCATCGATTGCATTTATTTAACAATCCAGCGATACGAACCGAGAGATTTGGGAAATCCGGACGAGGGTTCAAGGATAATCGTAACAATTGGTGTCAGAAGTGGGATTGTTAAATAAATCCCGAAGGAGAAACTACTAAAAATGGCGAAAATTCGGGACTTAAAAATTGAGGAGCTGAAACAGGAGTTGGAAAAGCGTAATTTGGCCACCTCCGGAAGAAAAATGGAATTGTTATCCCGGTTGCGAGAGGCTATGGAAGCTGAAGGCATCGACGTGGACAAATACCACTTCCAAGGTAAACCCGACGATACATCCGCAAAGGACGAACAGAAGGATGAGGATGCATGTTCGTCGAAGGATGTGCAGCAGACATCCGGGAAGGTTGAAGAACAGCAAAAGTCTCTAAGTTCATCAACAGCTATGGACATGAACACGTTATTGGCTGCCATGTCACAGATGTCATCTCAGATGCAAACACAGTTGTCAGATATTTCGTCGCAGCTACAGGCACAGAAGACACACGTATCACAGTTGCTGGAAGTCCAGGATGCAAAGATTACACAACTGCAGGAGAATTTGGCTAGAGATAACGAACAAATCAAGGATAGACAGGATAAAGTCGAGGCTAAGGTAGAAGAGTTGGAAGGTCGCCTCCGAGATATGCAGTTGAATCGCCCACCTTCTTCGACCAGCGCGCCCAAGGTAAAGACTCCATCCTTTGACGGCACGATTCCTTTCCAAGTCTTTAAGCTCCAGTTTGAGAAGACAGCTACAGCAAATCACTGGAGCATGGAGGATAAATCCGCTGCACTGTTCGTTGCATTAAAAGGACCTGCAGCGGAAATCTTGCAGACTATTCCTGATTGTGAAAGGAACAGTTACGATGCGTTAATGGGTGTAGTGGAAAGACGTTATGGTAGCGAGCACAGGAGACAGATTTACCAGATGGAGCTGGAGAATCGCTGCCAGAAATCCAACGAGACTCTACAGGAATTCGCCTCCGAGGTTGAAAGGTTGGCTCATTTGGCAATTGGAGATGCATCTGGTGAGCACCTCGAAAGAGTAAAAATCCAGAGGTTCATCAACGGAATGCGGGACGTGTATACCAAGCGCGAGACGTATGCAAATCCAAAGCCAACATTTGCTGAAACGGTCTCGTATGCTCAGACACGTGAAACGGCGGCGCTCCTAAGTAGACCAGCCTACAAAGCCCATCGAGTAGAAGTGGAGACACCTGACGTGATGAACCAGATCCTGAAAACACTCAAGTCGATGGCAGAGAAGAATACTCCTGGTGCAACCGAGAGAAAGGATGGTGCTAGGAAATGCTTTAGTTGCGGAAAACCAGGCCACTCCGCCCGAGATTGCAGCGCAAGTTCCAGTGGGCTCAACCATTCAGCAGGACGCAAACGCAGGGCTGAGGGAGACGAATCCAACTCAAATCAGTCGTTAAACTAAAACGTGCCAGCAGGAAGGGCCGCGTGCTGGCTCCAAAAGTTGAAGAGCCCATAATCTCCGTCTCAAAAATTGGCCGGAATGCGAGCAACCTCACTATTGGTGGATGTGTGAATGGGCAGGAGCGAGTGCTGACAGTGGATACTGGAGCGTCACATTCCATTATTCGACCTGATGTGACTACTTTTTATGTGAAGCCACTACCTGGAGCAAAGCTGCAGACTGCAACTGGTGAATGCACCCAAGTATTAGGAGAAGTACCATGCGAAATAATAATCGACGGTTGGGCCTCGTACACTAAGTTTATAGTGGCAGACATTGTGGATGAAGTCATCGTCGGCGTGGATTTCTTACTTGGCCAAGGCATGAAGATTGACCTCCAGAGAATGATCCTGACAGATCGTCACAGGAAAGTGCCACTTAGAGTTGGTTACGACAGCCAGTGCTGCAGCAGACGGTTAGTCTTAGAGGAAGTGTCGAAGATTCCACCAGAAACGGAAGCGGTTAGTTGGGCGGAGGTTGGCAGTGATGGGGACGGAGTGGTTTCGTCAGGAGAAGGAAGTGGTTCACCGATACAGGAAAAGCGTGACGGTTCCGCCAGCTCAGGAAACAAGAGGTCGCAAAAAGGAAGCGGTCATGGCAAGCCAGGCAGTGTTTCCGGCAGGAGGAAAGCCACTGAACCACGTTGCAATGATGATACGCCGGTGGCCGGAAATGGAAGCGGCTGTGGTAGCAGTAGGCGCGCTTTGAAGTGTCCTGAAAAAGGTGGTCGGCAAAAGCGAGCAGTTAAGCCGGAAGCCAAGGGTGAGATTATACATGTCCGGTCAATGAAGTTAGCATCGGCGGAAGAGCGAGATACGAAACGACGGCGGAAGCTTCAGCGTAAGGATCTGGATGTAGCAAGATGTGCTAAAGGCAGTGCAGCACGAAGGCGGGAGTCTGGGTGTCATGGACAGAGGATGCGGCATAGATCTGGCGAAAAGGGTGCCCACGAGAAGGGACATGGTCTGGTCACCACCAGTGGCCGGCAGAAGCACGACCATGTGAGATGGTGCACTCCCGGAGATAAGCCGGAAGCAATGTCCAGTAACGCATTGCGGTTGTACATGTCACAGAAGAAGAAAAGCTTCACCTTTAAGCAAAGACGTGACTGGAAAGATCCGTTTAAGATTGACAACCGGCTGAGGGATGCAGTGCATCGGATCCAGACAATGGGGAGACCGAGGACCAAGATGAAAGTGGCCCACTTGGAAAGACTTGCAGCGGTTGGAGCGGCAAGTGTGTCTGATCGGGCCGATCAGACTTAGGTGGAGGGCAGTGTGGCGAATACTGCGGCAACACAAAGCGAACAACGAGAAATAGGCAGAATGTTCGAAGAATGACGTAGAATGTTCCACAAAGAGAAACGTCAAGTTGGATGAACACTGCGAACAGTGAGAGAAAGAGAATGAGCGATGAACTTCAGAATGTTCTAGAGTTGCCATAAGTGCCAGCGCAGGTATATAAGGGCGCCGCCACCGCGAGGTGAGTTAGTTACGAGTTACAAGTCAGCAAGCTACAAGTAAAGTGAGCGGAGAATTGAGTTGCGAATAAGCAAGCTATAAGTTTAATTGTGTTAACAAGTAGTAAAGCGTTGTTATTGCTTTAACAAGTATCGTAAAGTGATTTTACTGTATTAGCAAGTATTGTAAATTGTTTGTTGTACAATAAAGTTAATTGTACTACAATTTGGTCATCGATTGCATTTATTTAACAATCCAGCGATACGAACCGAGAGATTTGGGAAATCCGGACGAGGGTTCAAGGATAATCGTAACCAGGGTTGCCACTTTGGTAAATTGTTACCAAAATTGGTAGAAAAAATTTGGGTTGGTAAAAAGGTAAAGTTTTTCTCATGTTGGTAGATTTTTGATGAACTTTCTGTTCCCGATTTATTTTTCGTATTTATCTTTAAATATATTATAAATTTCTTTGCATACTTTTCATATACTTACATACGTATAAATGTATATCGATATAAGGCGAACATATCGTGCTCCATTCAAAACTCATTTTACTGGAATCCCGGTGAGCTTTTGATTGCCTATATATTTTAAATGATTATTTAAATACATATAAAAAAAATTTACAGGTATGTAATGACGATTTGGGTTGGTAAAAAGGTAAATTTTTTCTCATTTTGGTAGATTTTTGATGAACTTTCTGTTCCCGATTTATTTTTCGTATTTATCTTTAAATATATTATAAATTTCTTTGCATGCTTTTTATATACTTACATACGTATAAATATATATCGATATAAGGCGAACATATCGCGCTCCATTCAAAACTAATTTTACTGGAATCCCGAGGAG